GGAGGGGGAAAAAAAGGAAAATGAGCTGATTCCGGGAACCCAAGAGGCAAGCGAATTTTGGGAATAATGAGGGCAACAAATGTATAGATGTGTTTAATACAATTGACCTATGTATTGTGATGAATTATATGAGACCCAATAAATTGATTAAAAAAACAACAACAAAAAAAAACAATCCGTCATTCACTATATTAAGCACACTTGTATAGGTTGTACATGTGTTGCCATCAACATTTCCAAAACATTTTCTTTCTACATGAGCCTTGGTACCAGCTTCAACTTGAATGTCTTATTGAAGGAAGAATGAGAGGGATTTGTTGCTGTTGTTTTCCCGACTAAGCAGTCATTCATTTTGTCCAGTGACAGTCCTCTAGAGAGCCGTCTCTCCTCCACCTCAAACCATGTGGTTTGCATGAAGTCCGCTCCAGGGATGGAACATGTAGCCCAGACCCCAGTCAATCAGTACACTGCATTCCTTAGGCAACAAGGACCGTTTGCCAACATGGGAAAGTAACCCAATCAGAGGCAAAAAAGCGCTAAGAATTTTGTTTCTGGGAAAGAATCTTGCTCTTTCCCTCTGCCCTTAGACGTGAGAGGATGGAACACCTGGAGCTGCTGGAGCCATCACAGGGAAGAGTGATCCGGAGGAAGGAGAGCTAGGAGCCAGAAAGAGAAACTGAGTTTTATTTACAGGACTTAAACCTTTTCTTTCTTTCTTTTCTCTCTCTCTCTCTCTTTCTTTCCTTCTTTCTTTCGACTTAAACCTTTTCATCAGCTGCGTATGTTGCATGGGCAAACAAAAGACCTCCTTGCTTCAGGTAGTTTGGGTCAGGTTTCTATCACTTGAAACGGAACATCTTATTGGAGCAGCCCCTGAATATCAGCGCTCCCCTGACTGCCTTTCTCCAACAGGAGCCCCCGTGGACCATGGTAAGGCCTCCCAGATGGCTCCTCCTCTCAACTCATGCTTCATTCCTTAAAAGTCTTGCCATTTGGGAGGAAATAGGGAGCTGATACCAGTAAACACTAGAAAGAAGAAAATAATATTCTAAAATTGAATGTGGTGATGATGGTCCAACTCGTCTTGATATAATTAAGCTATTAACTTGTTGATAGGTGGATTGTGTGCCAATGAAATGTTTTTTTAAGTCTGGTCACTTCTGTAGTCCGAGCCCATCATTTAGCTAAGACTCCTTACCAACTTTTGTAGTGACCAATAGGAAAGTCCACTTGGTTTTTGAAAGGAGAGGTCTTATGGGTTTGACGTGAGGGTTCTGTAGCAGAAAGGGGGTGGGGGAGGATGTGAGCACTGGATTCTCCACCTGGAGACCTGGGAGCACTTTTGTGAACCTTACCCTGAAGAATATAGTGTTGTACCCACATAGATAGATTCCATTTGTTCACTCACCATGTAAAAATCTACTGAGTACCTTAAAAAAAAAAAAGGAAAAAAATATTGTAAATTTTTTTAAAAACGTGCAAAAATAAAGTACATCTAGATTAAATAAAATTTTAAAAATCTACTGAGTACCTATGATGTGCCAGACAGTTTTAGATGCATGGGCTACATTAGTGAACACCTCTCATCTTAACCCTCAGAGGGTTTATAGTCTAGGGGGAAGATACAGCAGTAAATGTGTACGTAGAATTTCTTATATGCCAAGAACTGTTCTAAATCCCATTCTGCTCTTCCTACAAGGTTCCTGAGTCAGAACGGACTCCAGGCCAACAGGCTTTTGATAGTTCGGATTAGACTCAACGACAACTATACACATGAACTTCACCAGATGGAGTACACAGGAATCCAACTGACTATCTCTGTGGAAAGAGACGATGAAGACGTTCAATATGATCTGCCAAAATAAGGCCAAGGGTCAAGTGTGGAGCAGAACATCATCAATTGCTCTGATGGAAGTTCAGGCTGAAGCTTAAGAAAATGAAAGCAAGTCGACTACAGCCAAAACACGACCTTGAGAACACAGTGAACCCTCGTTCATCGCGGTCATCGGTTCTAGACCCCACCGTGATAAATGAAATTCCGCGAAGTAGGATTCCTTATTTGTAAATCAAATGTTTTCGTAGTTAGAGCATAGAGGACATGAAAAAAACACCCTTTAGTCACCATGACACTCGTATTACCCAATTTATTAAACGAAAAAGGGAAAATGCAGTAAAACATTTTGGACGTTTCAATTATCATTTATTATTTATTATATGATGAAGTACAACGGATGGAGCGAACGGAAGACTCATTCAAGTCGAAATGGCGTGCAACCTCCACTATTTTCTTGCCATCCTTGATCATATCCAAAAGTTTTACCTTTTCCTGGATGGTGAGCATCTTCCTCTGGCACTTATTTTTATTGTCAGAAGGCTTAGAAGAAGCAGCTCGTTTAGGAGCCATCATAGGGCTTAGATAAAATTTCTTAAAAATCACAAACAATTACAGTACACTGTACAAAAGCAAAAATGCATCTGATACATAGCTCCGATACGTAGCGATGCAGACAGAAGCGTGTACAGTATGAGCCAATCAGTGGCAGTAATGACAGAGCATGTGCTGTTACGCAAAAACCGCGATAGAGTGAACCCGCGGAAGTCGAAGCGCGAAGCGCGAAGTGGCAAGGGTTCACTGTAATGACTAGCACAGGGCCCTACTTAGTGGTTAGTTCTCAGTCCTCATTCCAATGGTTCTAGCAGCATCCCTTGATCAGTGGATCACTCCCTTCCTGGAAACCACTTCTATCCTTAGATTCCTCCTTGCCTCTCCCACAGGCTGATGCTTCTCGATGGCTTCTGCAGGTTCCTCTCACCTAACCCTTACTATTGATTGTGTTGTCCCTGCTTCAAGGCAGTACTCCTACCTCAACTTGGCCTGGAAGGCTTCAGTCTTCACAAATCACTCCTTTGGCAACAATCTCTTGGCTTGCAGCTCCCAATGTTCTAGTTCCAGCCCAGACTTCTCTGCAGCACAGACTCTTCCATCTGCCTATTTGACACTTTCACTTACTTGGCTAATAGATATTCCAAACATATCAAGGCCAAAATGACCTCTTGATTCTTTCCCGCCCCCCCCCCTCCACACACACACACAAACTACTTTATCCATCATCTCTTCTCTCACTGATGACACCTGTGACTCAAGCCAAAAATCTTGTCTTCTAGTTGTCTCATTTTATAGCCAATCCATCAGAAAAATCATATGTCCCAAATCTGACCATTTCCCAACTCTCCACTGATAGGGCCTAGTCTAAGAGAACATATCTGAATTACTGCAAAAGCCTAATTGCTCCCATCTTTACCCTTTATAAAATGTATGTCACATCATGATGCTCCTTGGTTCAAAACGTTCTCATTACCCCCATGTTCTCAGCAGGAAGGCCAAAGCACTGATACCTTTCACTTACATCAAGCCAATTACGACTCAGGTGAGAAATGACCCTGTGGATTTCTGAAACTGCACTTCTATGGGTGTAGCATAGCGCAGCTGATGGCTTTGAACTGCTAACCTTGCAGTTAGCGTTTTTTTTTGTTTAGCTATCATCTTACTAATGAGGTCTAGCTGATTGGCCTATTTAAATTACACCCACATATCCACCTTTACAATACTTTCCCTCACTACTTTTTTTCCCCTGTAGAATTTCCAAGCGACTTCACTGTGTACTGTTTAACGTCTGCCACCCTACCCTCACCCCTCCACCTCTCTGTGCAAGTTGCAAGATGTAGGAGATTGTTGTCATTTTGTTCACGGATGTGTCCCCAGCACCCAGACAGGGGCTGCACCTAGCAGATGCTTAATAAATGTCCCACCTTCTGCAGGATTTATTTCTGGTTTCAATAACTTGATTGGAAGGCTTCAGTGGGTGAGCAGAACTCAACCCTAACAACAAATTTTTCAAGGTCAATCAGTGTATCGGGCGGCCTGTCTGGGAGGTCCTAAACGGCTAAACAGCTCCTTTTCCTTTCCTGGGACCTGTGTGTTTTTGTTTTGTTTTACTGTTTGAATGTGACGTCCACCTCGGGGTGGTTCTCAGGCAGCGACAACTCCTCGCAGGAGGCTCACATAAAGCAAAGCAAGGCTCAGGCTTCCCGAGGCCGACTAAATACGTGCAGACCCTTTGAGGGACGTGCAAAAAAGGTGTTTGCACGCACGATCCCGGCAACACGTGAGCACCTCTGGGTTTGGCATAATCCAGCAGCAGGATGCCGGCTTCCGGCGCTTGGCCTCATGGGAGATGTAGTCTTTCGGGAAGCTGGGCCAGAAAGCCTTTGGGGGAAGAAGAAAAAAAACACTTTGGCAGGGGAAGGATACACAATGGGTGAGAGTCCGAAACAATGGCCCGACTCACACAAACGCCACACCACCCCTTTTCCTCTTTTTCCCCACCCTCCAGCCTCTGCGAGCCTCCAGAACGGCTCGCCTCCACCCACCTTCGACACGCGCCGTTCCGCCGCTTCCGGTTGGGCCGCTCTAGCGCTCGGCGCTCCCCGCCCCTCCGACCAATCAGAGGTGAGCTTCGCTCCGTTCCCGGTGTGCCTTGCGGCGGCAATGGCTGCCCCCTGTCGGCGCGGCTCTTGGTTGGTCCGCGCGGTGCTAGGGGTCTGGCAGCGGGGCCCCGAAGCCTCGAGGGACTGGGTGAGCCGGCTGCCCTCGGCCCCGGGATCCCCGGGGAGATGCGTATCTTGTTTTGCAGGCGCCGCTTTCGCTGGTCCACGCCTGTCCTCGGCCTCCCGCCGTCATGGCCAGGGCTCTGCCTTGGACCGGTTCCTCGGACTCCCGCAGGCCAGCGGTCCCCTCACCCCGTGTGCCCCCGCAGTGCCTATGGACAAAGGTAAAGGATCCAGCCAAGTGTGCCTGTGACCTTCACGTTTTTAGCATTCAAAGTGTCGCTTCGGGAGCCCTCCGAAGACCCTAGGAATGTCATCCTTGGCCCAATTCTAGAGAATGACCGTGAAGGTCTCACCGGAAAGGAATGAGTCCCACCGACTTTGAGTTACACCTGGGAAATAGGAACCCTTTCCTCTTAAAGTACCAGAGTCTAGAGTCAGGCAGAGAAGCTGCAAACAGAAGGTGGACATAAATACAATGTGACAAAAGCCTTGCATACATAGTGGCTAAGAAAGCTTGCTAAGTTTTTTTTTTTCTATTTATAATTGCTATTTTAATGGCCTGACTCTGAAAGCTCTCTTAAGTTTTATTTCAGGATGTTGCTTTTTCTTTTAAATCGTTTTATTGGGGGCTCGTACAACTCATAACAGTCCATACATATATCCATTGTGTCAAGCACATTTGTACAGTTGTTGTCCTCATCATTCTCAGAACATTTGCTTTCTACTTGAGCCCTTGGTATCAGCTCCTCATTAGTTTGCTGAGTTTTCATTACCACCCTGTTGGTGTAAAATGTTCAGAACTAAAGGAATTTTAAATTTTAACAAGCCTGACTGTACTTTCACTTAAATCAGTGGTTCTCAACCCTCCTAATACCGCGACCCTTTAATACAGTTCCTCATGTGGTGACCCCCCAATCATAAAATTATTTTCATTTGTATTGCATAACTGTAATTTTGCTATGGTTATGAATCAGGTGACTGCTGTGAAAGGGTCATTTGACCCCCAAAGGGGTGTCGACCCACAGGTTGAGAACTGACTTAAATGCATACTTTTACCAAATCTGACTACCATCATTGAATGTCTTTTACGTACCAGGAAATGACTGAATGGTTTTTACACAATTGCAATGGTCAGAAGATACCTAGAGGTGCATTCTATCTATAGAGACTATTTTCCATATAAGAAAACTAAGGGTCCCAGAGAGGTTGGAGGACCTGCTAAAGCTACCTTAAATTAAACAAGATAAGTGACAAAGCTGAGACCCATGGTTTACCTTCCATCTGGCGCACTAATCTTTTATTTTGGTAACAGTTTTATTGGAACATTTATGTATCAAAGAACTCAAAGTTCAGTGAGAACTGTACAGCCATTTACCATATCACTTTTAGAACATTCCCTCCCACACTGGTTTTGTCCCCATACTCCCTGTGTGGGTGGACAGGATCAAGCACCTGACAGGAAGTCCAGATTCGACCCTCACCACCCCTTTCCCTCCCAGGTGAACAGGATCTCCTCTTGGTTCATCATCCTGACATGCCTGAGAACCCCCGGGTCCTGCGAGTGGTTCTCCTAGGAGCCCCAAATGCAGGAAAGTCGACACTCTCCAACCAACTCCTGGGCCGAAAAGTATGCTGCACCTTTGACACACACACCCCTACCCTGCTCCCCCCCTCCTCCCACTTTTTTCTCTCACTTTTTGCTGTGTCTGCATGGATGGACCTGGAGAAGCCTGGGACCTAACTTGGGGTTTGTGTGTTTTGGCAGGTCTTCCCTGTCTCCAAGAAAGTACACACCACGCGTTGCCAAGCTCTGGGCGTCATCACAGAGAAGGAGGCCCAGGTGGTGGGTACCTGCAAAGGACATTCTGGAAGCAGGATAGAGGATGAAGCTAAGAGGGTCTTCCTTACTAATCATGCCACAGACAGGGAGGCCGAGACTCGGTTATCTGAGGGAAAGTGGTTCCCTCTTGTGTAGGCTTGGTGCAGTGATCTTCTTCCTTTTGGATCTCACCTAGAATTAAAACTAAGGTGGAGGTGGGTGAGTGTGAAAATGCAAAGTTAGAAATAGCTTAGCCAAGAAGGGAGACCCCAGGCATCAAGAGTGGTGGTCTCTCCAGGGAACCCAGAACAGATAAACCCCTCAGAACCAAACGGGGAGCAGCAATACTAGGAGGGCAAGGGAAGGGGGGGCGGTTGTAAGGGGGACTTGATCACAATAATCAACGTATGGCCCCCCTCCCAGGGGGATAAACAGCAGAAAAGTGGGTGAAAGGAGACAGTGGTCGGTGTAAGACATGAAAAAAAGAGAATAATTTCTAAATTATCAAGGGGACATTGGGGAGGGAGGGAGGGCGAAAAAAGGAGGAGCTGATACCAAGGACTCAAGTAGAAAGAAAATGTTTTGAAAAAGATGACAACATATGTACAGATGACAACATGTGTACATATCCATGTACACAATGGATATATGTATGGATTGTGATAAGAGCTGTAAGAGCCTCCAGTAAAAGAAAATTAATAGATTAAAAAAAAAAAGTGGTGGTCTCTCTTACGCCCTGTCATAATCTTTCTTCCCGTGATGTGGAAATCTCTTTTTTCAGGTTCTCCTTGACACACCTGGCCTTATCAGCCCCATTAAACAGAAGAGGTAAAAGCTGTGGAAACAGATGGTGGTGGGGGGGTGTTGAGAGGGTGGAGTGGCTTAGTGGGTGATGGTAGAGGTTAGAAAACCCCCTTACATACCGATCCCTCATCAGGAATGCCCTTGCCAGAAAACCCTTCTCGGCTGATGTCTGTCTGTCTGTCCTGCAGGCACCATTTGGAGCTCTCTTTGCTGGAAGACCCCTGGAAGAGCATGGAATCTGCTGATCTGGGTGAGGCTGGGAAGTCTCACCCCTTGGCCCCTCATCCCTCAGAGTTTGGGGGTTGAAAGTTGGCCAGAACCCATATTGTGGGTAAGTCTGTGGAGGAGATGGGTCATGTCTCTGTCCCCCTCCCCACCTTGTCAACCTCCAGTTGTGGTTCTTGTGGATGTCTCGGACAAGTGGACTCGAAACCAGCTTAGCCCGCAGGTGCTCCAGTGCTTGTCCCAGTTCTCCCAGGTCCCCAGCATCCTTGTCTTGAACAAGGTGAGCTCCACCCATCTGGGAAAGGGGCCCACTTTTCTCCAAGGCCCCTGTCCCTCTGACCACACTCTGCCCTTCCCCGATGCCCAGGTAGATTGTTTGAAGCAGAAATCAGTTCTCCTGGGGCTCACTGCAGCCCTCACTGAAGGTGTGGTCAATGGGAAGAAGCTCAAGATGAAGCAGGCCTTCCACTGGCCCTCCAGCACCCATTGTCCCAGCCCAGAAGCCAAGGGCCCAGACACCCAAGCCGGGGGAGGCCCTCAAAGGGCAGGCTGGCCACACTTTCAGGAAATCTTCATGTTATCAGCCTTATGCCAAGAGGATGTGAGAACATTGAAGGTCAGGCTGCCTTGGCCATAGCCTGGCCTGTTGCTTCTACTGGGTGGGAAGGAGAGTAAGTCGGAAAGGCTGGGTCAGCACTGAGATGTCTACCCATTCCCGTGTGCCCAACAGCAGTATCTCCTGGGGCAGGCGCGGCCCGGGCCCTGGGAGTTCCACAGCGGAGTCCTCACTACCCAGAATCCCTTGGAGATCTGTGCCAACATCATCCGGGAGAAGCTCCTGGAGTACCTGCCCCAGGAGGTGCCCTACAATATCCAGCAGGTGCAGGCCCAGGGAAGGGGCCCAGGGGGCTGCACCAGAACAGAACAGCTGGGGCCCAGGGGGGCTGGCTCACGAGCCTGACTGGCTCACTGAGCTGTTTCCTGTGCAGAAAACCGATGTCTGGGAGGAGGGGCCAGCTGGCCAGCTGATGATTCTACAGAGGATTCTGGTGCCCAAAGAATCCCATATGGTGAGGCTCTGCTCCACTCGCTAGGGGCTCCTTTCCCAGAGCCCTGTGCATGTGGCCACACCCCGCTCTTCTCCCCTCCCAGAAGCTCCTGATTGGTCCGAAGGGGCAGCTGATTGCCCAGATTGCGCAGGAGGCTGGCCATGACCTCATGGACGTCTTCCTCTGCGACGTTCAGCTCCGCCTCTCCGTGAAGCTTCTCAAGTGACCACCTTCTCTTGCCCCTCCCTGGGCAGAACGGCCCGAGCTGCTGACCAGGACTACCACTGCCCAGGGGCCCGTCGGGACTGGTGAGGAGCATGGGCAGTTGACTGTTTTGTCAATCCGCGTGGCACCTGCCCCACCACTTCTCTTGTTGGAGAAAGGTGCTTGCCTTAGCTCTGTCCTGAGGCAGCTCCTCTGACTGCGGCCATCGCCTTCTGGAGGCTCAGAAATTGGCTGCCCTCATGGGGAGCAGTGTGGCCCTGCCTCCAGCTGGTTTGGATCCTCGGCATCTTGCTGAGGGGCCAGTTGTGCGCAGGGAGGAGCTCACTTTTCTGGGCAATTGTACCTGAACGCCAGGTAAGGGTCCGTTTGTTTGGGCCCCTCCCTCCTGGACCCCAGGTCCCTGGTTCCCTCCCTTCCCCTCCTGAGCCCCAGTCTTGGATGTGAATAAAATTACAAGAGACGTATTCTGGTTGTCGCCTTTATTCATTTAGAACAGCAGAGAGAAAATGCACCCGTTCCCATTCCCTCCCCCACCCACACTTGGGAAGAACTGGAGTTCTCCTCCCACCAATCCAGCCATCTGCTCCAGGGTCCCGAGCTCTTCTTGGCACGTTTTCCGGGTGCAGCAAGAGAACCGTTACCATTACTAAACTCAGTAATGGTAACGGTTTCCTCGCCACTCCCAAGTGCCCCGGCGTCTGCAGTCTGTGATGAGCTGAGTTTGAGCTCCTGGTCTCGCAGCATCTCCCCTGCCCTCCTCACCCCCCTCCAGAGCTGGAGCTACCCGGACTAGTACATCATCTATACTGTAGTGTCTCATCGCAAACTTACAGTATATGATGATATCCCAGCCAAGGCCCTGCCACCCAGAGCACCCACTCCCTGCCCCACAGCCCTCCGAGTGAGCAGCCTCTTGGTTCTGCGGTTAGGGGCAACCAAAGATTGGGGGTGGGGAGGCAGGGAGAAGCCTGGCCCTGAACAAAATGGACTCAGAGGCGAGGCCCGTGCAGAGCGAGGTCTGTGGAAACTCAGGCTCCTGTGAGAGCTAAACAAGCCAGAGGTCACAGGAGGAGGCAGAAGGTTTCCTCTGGTTAGGCCAACCCAGGGGTGAGGTGCTTACCCGGAGCTGGAGGGCAGGCTGGGCTGGAACCGGCACATGTGGAGGCCCTCAGCCCTCTCCCGGCCTCAGCTCAAGTGGCTCCCCTGCCTTTTAACCTCACTGGCCCCTCCCCTGGGTGGGGTGCATTTCCCGGGTTCCAGAAAGCCCAGCCTCTTTTTTTTTTTAAGACATTTTTATTCCATTGTCCAAAAAAGCATTTATTCCTTAAAAAAAAAAAAGTCAAATTGACATGCTTTTTGTGATACATATTTCACTACAGTGAAGTTACTTTTCATAAAACACCCCACAGAAAACTCCCACAAACCTATAGCATTTATAAACCAATAAAATGGCATTTTTACATAGAGATGTACTGATAAAAAAAATAGAGCAACAGTCTTGCCCAGAGTCCTAGTGGGTTTTCTTTGATAAACAACAGCAAGGTAAACATGGGGGTCCAGTAATTCAGAATACAGAAAAAGCAGAAAGTGGAAACTACACCCCAATATCAGTCATGTTCTCCATAGGTAAGCCATGGGTCCATTTCGTACAGAAAACTTTTAAGGGAAAAAAAACCCCTCATACCTCTACCAACATATAATCCCCTAGATCTGTAACATGTTCCATGCCATACCTCCAAGGAAGACCTTGCCTCTTAACCCTCGCTCTGCTAGACTCTGGGACCAAGGTTGCTGCCGCCCACCCCACCCCTACCCAGTTCTGGGCACTTACAGACTCCAGAGGATTTTGCTAAGCCTAAGATGCATTCTTCGCTTAACTCCCCGCGGTGCTGGTCATCTGCCGGACTGGGAGGAGAAAGAATAGCCTCACCCCCCACCTCTACCCCACCCCACCTCACCCCACCCTGTGTTTCTGGTGGACTGCATGGGGGTGGGGAACACTGTAATCTCTGAAAGCAAGCTCACAGGACCCTGCAGTCTGGGTTTTGTCTCCAGACCCCTACCTCGTTTGTGCTGGGCCTGGAGAGGCCAAGCAGAGACCCTGGCCAGGCCCCTGGGTGGCCAGGGCTCTGCTGGGAGACTGAAGAGCCACTACTTCCAAGGGTCTATGGGAGCCAGCATACGATTACAGTGAAAATCCGGCTGCTCAGTTCTATCTCTGCTTCTGGGGAAGGGGAGGTTCTGGGGTAAAAGCTCCTCAAAACAGGGTCGCTGCTTTCTGACCCCCACCCTCGAAGAAACCTCTGCTGCTTCCTGTGGCCCAGACATTGCCACCTGTGTCCCAGGCAGGAGTTGCACCCTGCCTCTTCGGGCAGGATCACATGGGATGAGCACAACAACCTCTCTTAAGATGCTCTGTTTCCTTCCGACACAGAACTTTCAGGAAGGCGCCTCTTCTCCTTGGCTTGGTCTTCCTTCCTTTCTTGTCTAAGGCACTCCCGTCCCCTCTGGAGATCTGTACTGTCGGCAGGGAATCTTTGCTCAGCCAATGCTAAGTGCAAGGGCAGCCGCTCGGAGGGCGAAAGAGGTTGTCTGCTCCCACACAGAGAGGTAGTCCCAGAACCCCAGGGGCCGTCCTCCCCTGTCCTATAGGCTCACGCTGAGTCCAAATCGATTCCCGTGGAGGGAGTTTGGCTTGGCTCTGGGCTCCTTCCTTGGGTGTGATTATGCCCATGATGCAGTTAACCGCGAGGGCCTGCTTAGTCACTGCTTTCTCTCCGGCATGTGCTGTGGAGCAGTGACCGACTGGTAGCTCTGGTTGGGGCTAATGGGACTCGAAGGAGACAGGCCTTCACCGAGAGAGCCAGGCCCACTGAGGCGGCCGTAGGCCATGGCTGCTCCCCGTTCTCATTTATAAATAGGAAAACTAACAAGACACCATTCCCAGTGTTGTGGTGAGGGCTAGAGGGGCCAGGACTGACCCACAGAAGGGGTTTCCACGGCCGCCGCCGCATCCCTCCACCGAGCATGCCACTGAAGACCCCTGGGGGAGGCTGGTGGAACTGCTGAAAGTCTGGAAAGACTCCCGAAAGCAGGCAAGGTCATCAAAGAGCTCACACTGAGAGGTGGCAGGCCCTGAGGGACCACTGGACCCAACCAGGTGACTTTGAACCCTGTGCCCTGAGCTTCAGTTTAGTGTCAAATTGCAACTCGGAGGCCTGACCTCTGTGGAGAGGACGAGGGCGAGGGTTCTCTGCTGCGCACAGAGAGCAAATGTCCGGCTCTTTCCTCCCTCTCACCCACTAGCTGTGTGAGAGAGAGCAGATGGCTGAGCTCGTAGCCCTGCGACACCTTCAGACCATACGGCGGACCTGGCCACACTCAAGCATCCAGGGAGAAATAGGGGGAGAAGCCTTTGTCCACTAGGTGCTCGAACTGGGGAAGGAACACATGGAGTCCGCTCCTGCCCAACCCCTCCCCCTCCCCATGGCACCTTTCCTGGCCCATGACCTAGCCTAGTGCCAGGTCGCTTCTACTCAGGGGCCCCCCACACAGCTCAGGCTCCTGAACTAGTGAGGGGCTTTGGGCAGCAAGGACACGCTTCATGCTGCTCACTGCCTCGGCTTCTGCTCAGCCCTTGTGGGGGGAGTGTGGATAGAAACAGGAGCCTGGAGGGGAAAGGAGCCAGCTAGCCAGAGCCCCTGTGCCGGTGACCCTTGGATGGGGTGGGGGTGCCATGAACAGGGAGGGTGTGGGCCTGAGGAGAGCCTGGGCCTGGGTTGGGGAGTCTGAGGGCCCTGATAAGGCAGTATTGAGCGATATCAGGGTGGGGAGCCAGTACCTCCTGCTTATCAGGTGCCCTCAGGGCTGGAGCAGGACTATTACCGCCCAGGGCTGTCTTCTGAGATGGTCAAGCTCCCATCCCTCTGCCTCCTTACAGCCCCATGGCAAGGGGGGTGGGGAGGTGTCCTTTTCTGCAGGCTCCACAGAGACAGGAATTCTGCTCCAGCCTGAGTGGTATGCAGTTTGGCACATGATCCAGGTGGTCAGGCCCAGCTAGCTCTCTACCAACCTCTCCTGCAGACCGGGCGCCCTGTGTCTCTTTAGCAGCTGCTAGGGGCCCACCTGGGCTCTTGATCTGGCTCCAGTCTGAACTGCAGTCCCTGCTACTGCCCCTGGACCCTTTTGAAGTTCATGAAGACCTCATAGCATACTCTGTTGAAGTTCAGGATGGTCAGACCTGCAAGGGCCCTTCAGAGTCATGGGTCAAGCCCTGCATGTGTGTAGGAGAAGAAACTGAGGCCTAGAGAGGAGGGAATTCTCCAGAGCTTCAGGGTTCCCTCTGTCTCTCAGGATCAGGAAGGTGACCCTCAGAGGAACAGGAAGGCCACAGGAGACATCGACAGACACATAGGACAGACAGGGCACGGATGCACACCAGTAAGAGGCCCCCATGCACACAGATAAACAGCTTTCACATTTAAAAAAATTTCAGATGGTAAAATGACTCCTATTTCCCTCTGAGTGTTTGCTTTGCTGTTTCATGAAGTTAGAAACAAACCAAAGCAGGTCAAGGAACCTGGTTCATTCGTGCTTTGCGGCCACCTGCCTTACTCATCACACAGTCAGCAACAAACTCGGCCTTTAACCAAGAAGGTGGGGAGGTTTTTCCTCCCTCCCTCCCTTCCTTCCGTCCTTCTTTCCTTCCTGTTTTATTGTGACAGAGCAAACAAATTCAGTGACATTTCTTCTCCGGACAATCAATGCCCCAAGCACGGGGAACAGCACCCTTCCCCGGCCTTCTGGGTTTACCTTCTGCATTCACCCGCCTTCCCTAGGCTTTCCTGCCTCCTGAGCGTTAGCCCTGGGCAAGCGCTGCCATTTTCACGTCTTCTGTTTGGCTCAGTGGTTACATGTGTTGGGCTGCTCATCGCAAGGTCAGCGGTTCAAAGACACCAGCTGCTCCACGGGAGCAAGACAGCGCTTTCTACTCCTGCAGTGACAGTCCCGGAAACTCACAAGGGCAGTTCTACCCTGCCCTACCGGGGCCTTGTGAGTCAGCATTGACTTGATGGCAATGAGCTTGGCTCTGCTTTTGACTCAAGGGACTCCAAGCCTCGGCTTTGTAACCCTTAGACTCCTGTGTTAGATATGGGGGTGTGAGGGTTCAGGGGTGGGCAGGGACGTCAGGTCAGTTGCTGGGGAGGGCCATTTATCCCAGCTCGACTTCTGGTTGATCAGTTTGGGAAGCTTCTAACCCTTTCTGACAGTCTTCAATTCCCCAGCTTAGGGTCTTTTCTTCCTTATAGTGGGGAGAACTCCTCGGATCCCTTGTTGTCAACTACTCCATGGCCCCAGCCCCTGGCATGGGCCTCGCTCTGCACACACATAACAGCTGTCAGTCCCGGAAACACCACCGCCCTCCGACTCAGCGTGTTCCTTAACACTCTGCACCCTTCTCAAC